AGTCAGGCTATCAAAATCTATCTACACCATGCCCAATGGGCTATTTACGAGCAGAACCAGGGACGGTGTAGATGGATTTTGGTAGCCCGACTAAAAACAATAGCCCCGGAATGTTTGGCTACCAGATTTTGCGAGCCCTGAGTACCAATCGATACTCATATTATAAAAAAGAAAGTCAATTTCCCACTAACATTAGCTCTGCTGAGAACATTCTTAAACACTGCTGATGAGCTATTGTGTTCGCGTGCTCACTTGTGATTGGCCTTGAACTCAGCAGTGCTTAAATGTTAGCGGGAAATGGACGTTTTTAAAATCTGAGTAGCGATCGGTACCAAACTCGATACTTTTGACAACCCTACTAGGTTTCCGTCTTAAAGTAAAACGTATAATTTCGATGTTCGCAAATAAAGGTGTGTTTCCATCAAGAAGCTAGAGTGGCTTACGGTAGAATTGGTAACCGAGCAACCAATAGTAAACAAGGCAAGCATAATAGAGACAGCTGATTGGTCATGTGGGTCTGACGTTCGCTACGTCAGATCTTATTTGAAAAATGCATTTCCAATTTTTGCATTATCACTTTTTCCGCACGTACAAAACCTCAGGAGGGCGATAAAAAGTAATTAAGGGATTTTTATGTGTAGTTTATATGAAAACATGAAGTGCTCTAAGAGTAAATTCGCAAGCTTTTTTTTCTGTCAAATCAAGTACACATCATGGTAAGGGTGCTCATAATAACCGATGCTCATAACCGTTAATCGAAAGGGAGCGTTTTAACCGATTAATGGTATCAAGTAAATGTTTTTAAAAATATTGCTATATATATTTTTAAAGTTTGGCTGCATAAGCGGTCGATCGCAGCAAAAACGCTTTTGTTGTTGAGGGGGGCATCTTTTGAATGGTTTAACGGCTGCGACCGTTTTGTGGCACCATGCACGCCTCGCGTTTTTGCCATTGTGCGCTGTATGTTTGCAGTTGAAAAAAGTCAACTCTGCACGGAAAAAGCGTGTTACGTCAGATTCTTTAATCCAATGAAAGCAGAGGCGCTGTTTCCGTTGATTAAATGCTTATACTTCATGAAGCAATCAATTTGAGGTAGCCTGCTATTTTTATTTGATGGAAAAAAAATTGAACAAACAGCATATGCCAGTTCTTAAAAAAGGATTCAGTCAGTGTTTCCATTTGCAATCTAAATTTGACATTTAAGTGAAGAATATCTAGGGCAGGCCTATTTATTTTATTCTTTTTATTGAGTTTATTTTCTATGCTGTTGGAAACGCTGCAGGTGCTTGAAGGTGTGCTGGTGATCTGTATGCTGTTGTTCACTTGTTAAAATGAATCAGTATTTTAAAATGCAATATTTAATGTGTCAGACGTAAGATAGACACATCAATTAATTTTTTTATTAAATAATAAATTAATAATAATCTGACTAGTTACCCGTTAATATTCGGTTACTGAGCGGCGGTTGTCGGTAGTCAAAATTAACTAAAATGAGCATCCCTACATCAAGGTGTCGAATATTGACAACAACCAGTTGTCAATTCATGTCATTTAATTATTATGAACAAAAACAAAATTGACAGAAATATATTACTATTGTCCTGTAAAACGTAGTAAACGTAGTACGCTAGTAATAATAACTTTATTTTTAGGAAATTGTTAAGTAGTTCTATTTTAACAAGAATAAAACTGAATTTAAAAAGGAAAACTTCATAAAATTCCCAAAAATGCTGCTTAAACTGAATAAATGTTGAATCTACAATATGAATCTATTTGAAATTATTAACAAAGTTATTTACCATTAAAATTGAGTTTAAAAAAAATTGGAATTCTGAGAAATTACATTTAAAACTACATTTTATGAAAAAAAGCTGATTTCATAGGTCCCTTGTTAGAATAATAATCTGTAATATAATATAAACACTGACTTTCGCAAACTAGTTAATAACATCTGGACAAGAAAACAAGATAATAAGTGGTCAACATATATCAAATATGAGTTAAAAAACACTTATTTTTCAATATTATTTATGGTCAAGTCTGCCAAGAACTAACACTTCCATCAAACATGAATACATTGTTAACAAGACAATAATAAAACAATTACCAAATATTAAGCAATATATCACTAACAAAAAGTCTTCATAGACAAATTTAAATCAGCATATTTCTATGAATTTAAAGTAAATATTTTGTAAAACAGCTAGTGATTTAACAATTATATCTAGCCCAAATTATCCATAAGAGGTTTTGTAATAAACCAATTCTGTTATCTGAATACTAAGCGCGTTTTAGACTAAAATGGAACATATATAATGCCTAAAATAGCTTTCTACATGACAGCTCACTTTAGGTTTCATTGAGAGATTCGGAGATTGCAAAATTAGTTCCTGTTAAATGATTAATGATGGTCCTGGCTTCATATCTAAAAGCAGTTTCCTTAGGCCATTGTGTGTAAATCAGCCTCTCAATGACCATCAGTGAGTGCTGGAGATAAACTCAGGTGTTTTATAGCACATTGTACTGCTATTTTGAGAGGACGCTTGTGGTCTGGGCTGGTTGGGGTGTGGTAAAAACACTACCCCTGTCCAATCTGAGCATGCAAACCAGATCAGAACCAAATTACAGCATGTAAAAACTGAATCCTTTGTGTTTACAAACAGATAATGATGCCTTATGGATAAAGGGGAATATGGCAAGCTGATTTAATCTATTAATATAACTAGCTTAATTTATAATGCAATTTATACTAGTACACTACACTAGCATAGTCTTCACAATACTATTACTTATATTTAGATACTAGCATCTTTTTCTATTAAGTACTATAGTAATGCTCATTATAACACCTATTAAATTACTAATAGTAACTATTAAATAAGTACTATTATCTTATGAATGCTTAATGAACACTTACTGGAATTCTTTAAAAACATGCTAATCACTATTGCAATAATTACCAGTCAGAAATTAATACAAAATATTAAAAGAATTACTAGTAGTGTGTAAATATGTAAAATACATACTAGTAAAAACTGCATGATTTTTTTGTAACGATAGATATGCATATTAGTCAATGGCAATTTTAGAATAGTTAATAGTCACTACTGAAATAAGTACTAAGACCTATTGCCAACCTGGTGCCTTTCTCAAAAAGTGGACCTTTTTGCGGTTATAGGCCTTCTTTAGGCTACTATTTAATTATGAGATTTAAATACTGCATTTTAGTGACATTTTAAGCACTACTCTAGTTGAAATAGATTGCCGGACAGTCATCATAACCAAAAATGCAAATTTGAAAATTCCTGGATAACAACAGTTAGCCAAAATGGTATTCAAATGCATTTTAATATTGGTCGCTTTTAGTGCTTCACACCTTTTGATTTGTCATTTTTGTGTTCCAAGTTTAGAATAAAAGTAACTTTTAAAATAATTTCTCTATTTAAAAACAATGTAGTAGCGAAAGAGGGCTTCACTTCATCAGACTGTATGTTTTCTTGCACAGCAGGATGTTGGACTCATGAAAAGTAATTGTGTGCACTGGCCAAAACTGATTAGCTAAAGTCACAATAAAGCAACAGCCAACAGAGGACTCCACTTGGTCTTAAAACCTTTTTCGATGGGCTATTTTCACTATTTATGATGGTATAGCAGTCAAAATAGGACAAATGAGCTCATGGGACAAATTCTGGACATTTGTCAGTGAGGGGTGGGTCTTTCGAACCACCTGAATCCCCCCTGGCTACGGGGCTGGCACTGGTATTAGATAATCTACTTCATATGCATTAGTGAAAAGGGAATATTTAGTAGGCCCACACGGAATCTGCACATGCAGATTTCAGCAGATTTTTACCCTATCCTTGAGTCTATGTATTTTCTTGTGTAAATGTGTGTAAACTTATATTTATCTAGTTTTTAAATTAATTTCATTAACATGATTGTGATATAATAACAGTAATATTAAAATGTTCATATGATTTATTTACAATACAGTTTGTAAAGTAACATTTCCTGTCTTTTAGTAGATGTATTATATGAGAAACTTGCTTTGTTTACCAATTAAGTGGATCTAATTGGATTTGCATTGTAAACATTAAATAAAATGTATTATTTTTTATTTCGTATGTTAAGGTTTTCGTTGCGATACTCCTAAAATGATTTCGTATAAATCCGCAGATTTTTTACAAAATTCTCAGCAGAAATAGCAAAAAATATCCGCAGATTCTGTCTGGCCCTAGGTATTAGTAACTAAAGAATAGGTAATAGTGTTGATTTAATGACGACCAATATCAGCTGAAAGAACTAGTATCTAATAACGAATAAGCATATATATATATATATATATATATATATATATATATATATATATATGTATATATATATATATATATATATATATATATATATATATATATATATATATATATACACTAAGGCTTAATGGAAAAATATCTTAAAAAAAAAAAAGAACTACTATAGTGTTTCGAAAAAACGATAGTCAGTAGATTTAATGTTAATATGGCTTGCCATAGTGGGGTAGGCAAGCAGTTACAAACCAGACTTGCTGTTGGGGCATCCAACATTACAAAATACTATAGTAAATTAGTAAATAGGCCTACTATAGCACTTTTGAACCATACCATAGAAGGCTACATGGTATTATACTGTACCTTACAGAGTTTTAGCCAACTTAACCATGGCATTATGAAATACTTTACTTCAGTTTTTACTACAGTGATGTATTGCACAGTACTGCAGGCTTTAACACACCGTGTTGACGTAGAAACATACAGTATAGGGTGATTTGTTTATATGACTAGTTATATTACCATAGCAACCACACATTTCAATTCAATACACAGTATTTACTATAAAGTACTATAGTATCGTGACCTGTGTAAAAAGTTTTTATCGAAAATACCTTACCACAAAAACAAATATATCTATGACATCTAGCCCATATCGTCTTTTGCAACAACAAAACAGCCTCTGAAACTCACCGGCCACGCGAAGCTGAAGGGCAGCACGATCCGGGTTTTGTCATTTGTTTGGTCAAGGGGCTTGACAGAAAAAGTATTCCCACCAATTACAGGAGTAGATCCGCTTCCGTAGCTGCAAGGGCCTCCCGAAGACACCCGCGACTGATACTCCTTCAAACATACGCGGAAAAACGTATCACACTGGTCCGCCGCGCAGGAGCGCTCCGCCGGGTCACGCGCACCGTCACAGCACGCGCCGTTCTGCAGCTCCCCGTTCACATTCTGCATGGACAAAACCTGCATCTCGAAATGCCCCGAAGCCTCACATACCTGGAACAAAATAGACGGGGAAATGTTAATATTAGTGTACAGAATCGGCCATATCTAACTTTCAAGGCACTTATGTAAAATTAAGTGGTAATTCAATATATATATTTATATATTTTATATATTTTATTTCACAAAATCTATTAAAAACGCTGCCAAAGTTTAAAGGTTTGATGCAAAATAAGCGAAAATGTAATTTATTTTAATATAGACTCTGTATTTGTTCATCCACTTTTGTAAATTAAGTAGTAAAGACTTCTAAAAAATCCCATTTTCTCAGTTTTGAGACAAGATCTATCCAAAAACAAGCCAAACAACTAAGTTTGAAGCAAAATAAACCAAAAATATATATTAGTGTATAGCCTAGGCTCTGTAATATCTATTTATCGACCTATTTATGTAAATTAGGTGCTAAAGATTTCCATATATATATATATATTTTTTTTTCATTTTTCTGTGTAAATCTATCCAAACAAGCTGCCAAACATCCAAAATTTGAAGCAAAAATTAAAAAAATATATTAGTGTAGCCTATAGGCTCTGTAATATCTATTTGTCGACCAACTTATGTACATTAATGGCTATAGATTTCTAAAAAAAAAAAAAAAAAAGTATATATATATATATATATATATATATATATATATATATATATATATATATATATATATATATATATATATATATATATATTCTCTTTTTTTTGTGTCTAAATCTATCCAAAAAACTGCCAAACCTACAAAGTTTAAAGCAATGAACAAGAATTTGTATGTAACATTAGAATATAAACTCTGTAATATCTATTTATCTATCAACTTATATAAATCAAATGCTAAAGACTTCCAAAAAAATATCAGTTTTCTAAAGCAAAACCTATACAGAAAAGCTGCCAAACTTTCCAAGTTTGAAGCAAAATACTATAAAAATAAATAAATAAATAAAACGCATACGGAAAAAGCCAAACCCGCACATACCCGCATCCACAAGCACCTCAGCAGCACGTGAGCGGACAGCGCCGCAAAAGTTGAGCTCGGTCTGAGAATCATCCCGGTTTGTCTGTCTGTGTGTCTGTCGCTGTGAAAACTACCACTTCAGCCGCCACACGCCTCTCATATAGTGGCTCATGCACGAGGACAGAGCCGCTCGGGTCCAATAGAGGACTGGTTCCCTGATGCCCCTTTTGAGGCTCTATTATCCGCCACTCTATTCTTGTATTGTCCTTCTGTCTTTACAACAATGCCCACGGGCTGGAGAGAGGAAAAGCTGCGAGTGCGACCGGGCGAGCGCTCCATCTATACAGCGCGTTCACGGAGGAGGGGGAGGAGCTAACACTTGCGACTGTTTCATATTTATGACGGGGCGGGGCTTAAAATGGAGCTTTTTCTGCACACTGTACACATTTTTATGATCATTTGTTTTTGTGTTTATTACACTTATACTAAGTTATTCATGTGTCTAGCGTATCCATTTTTAAGTTAAGCTGTTTTAAGTCTACGCTAATTGTTTAATATTAGTTAAAATGACTAATGAGGAGGATTTGATTAAAGTTGTAGCATGTAAAACCTCATTAAACCGAACTGTGTAATGATTTTACAGAGTGAAGCCATTTTGAGGCTTAGTTATTTATGGATAAAATTGTGAGCAAATTATAGATTTAAGACTTATAAGACAAGCATTAGCGGTACTCACTAAATAAATAAAGTTTTAAAAAAATGTATACATTTTTAACACTTTAACGTGTACGCTGACACAGATGTGATCAGTAAATTGATTTTTAAAGGCTAAATCTTTTATTTTATTTTCAATTTTCTATTGTTTGTTATGTATTATCATTTAAAGCTAATTTTCTCCTAATATTTGTAATAGTTGTTTACTGTAAAAAGTCATTCTGTGGCTTTGTGTGTTTCATTAAATTTAATATTAGCTCTTCATCTAATAAAATTACTTTCCTGATTTTAGGCCATTTTTTCGCTTTGAAATTACTTTAAAACATCTGTAATAAAATCTAATCAATTTTATTATAAGAATTAAGCTATTATTTTTGAATAATTAAAAAAAAAAGAAAAAATATTGATTAAATCCAACTCGATTAAAATGAGCATTTTCAAATTCACAATCATTTTCTGTTACACCGATCAATAATTAAATCAATAACTTTGGTTAAAATGTGCTAATTTTTAAAGTACTGTTCGCAGTTACTTATTATAAATGACTAATAAATAAGCCAATATAATTAATTGTTACTCAATCCATATTTGTTGAATTTAATTAATAATATTGCTCGTAATCTGTTACCCTAAATGTTATTGAGTAGATATTGGGTATTATGTTTTACAGTTTTGGAGGCGTACCCTGTATTTTTATATCCCAATGTTGACAGGTCATGGTGGTATTTGGAGAAACTATTTTTTTTCTGAGGTAGAACCACTGCCTTATAACATCTACATTTGCGTAAAATAACATTTTAGTCCTGCCACACACAAATGATCTGACAGTATTGTCCCCACATGGGCCAGTACAGATATTTTCTGCATATAGACTGCCATTAGACATCATTTCGGGCCTTCTCTCCTCATGTCTCTGCATTTCCACCTCCTCACTTTCATTGCATCCTAATAAGGCTCATTGGCCGCACATTTCGGCACAAGTTGCCATTGTGACAGTGTCGTTAATATGCATATGTTATTCATGAGCAAGGGATGAATATCACAACACAGGAACCCTTGCTAGTTGTCCATTGTTTTGGCGGCTTCAGTGTTTTCATGGCTGTAATGGCAGCTGGCCTCTTTTCAGAGCTAAACGTGATGCGGTTAATCATGTGTTGGAGAAGTCCCTAATGAAAAGAACATGACAGGATTGAGGGGGGTTGGAGGAGAAAGGAGGATCTCCTGTCAAGTCGAGATGGAGGAAGGGAAGGTGGGGGTCTTTATTTTTAAATTAGAGCAGCTGGGTCTCACTCACATTAAAGAGCTGCTGTGAATAGATTATAGCGCTGGTCTGGACAGGACACGCCCACTCTCGCGACCAAGACACGCCCCTTTAGAAAAGCCACGCCCATTTTGCTAGGACACGCCCACGTGCTCTGACGTAATCGATGTAAAAGAAACATAAATAAACAAATAGAGGATCGGGTCCGTTCTTCGTACGTGGATTACTCATTTAGCTGGATTTGGTTATTGACGATTTGACACGATCCACAATCGTTTCGTTCTTCAAAGCTCATTCGAGAGTTGTTGTTGATGTAGCCCAAATCTGCTCTGGAGCAGGTTTAATTCATATAAACAGGATTAGATCGAGTCATTTCAAGCAAAGATAATACTAAAAGAATGTACCGAATGTTGATATTTTCTTACAGTAGTAATATAGATTATATACATGTGGGAAAAAGTTCAATACTTTTAAACAGTTTATATATCACATTTATTTTTTATAATAATTAATAATATTTAAGGCAACACGGTGGCGCAGTAGGTAGTGCTGTCGCCTCACAGCAAGAAGGTCGCTGGTTCAAGCCTCGGCTGGGTCAGTTGGCGTTTCTGTGTGGAGTTTGCACGTTCTCCCTGCGTTCGCGTGGGTTTCCTCCGGGTGCTTCGGTTTCCCCCACAGTCCAAAGACATGCGATACAGGTGAATTGGTATAGGCTAAATTGTCCGTAGTGTATAAGTGTGTGTGAATGAGTGTGTGGATGTTTCCCAGAGACGGGTTGCGGCTGGAAGGGCATCCGCTGTGTAAAAACATGCTGGATAAGTTGGTGGTTCGTTCCGTATAGTACATTGCACATGCATTATGGAAGCAAAATTATGATTATTGTAAAAATGTCTTGCCTTTCCACTGGACATAAAAGGCAGGTGTCTATTAATCCTTTTATCACGGCATCTCAGACTCTCCCAATTCCTGAGAAGCCATAAATCCAGTGACATCCTCAGATCTGAACTACACTTTACCAAAACTGACGTGTGACAGTCCCGACAGGCCTGCAGACACAGGCAGAATCAGCCGGAAAGATCTGCTTTATGAGGTGTGTGTGGTTTAATTACTGGAGACTCACACACACACAGTTTTCATGAGCCATTTACATGATGTTTTTATCAAGAAAAAAAAACTGCAAATTATACATACAGTTGAAGTCAGAATTATTAGCCCCCTGTAAATTTTTGTCCCAAATGTCTGTTTAACGGAGAGAAGATTTGTCAACACATTTCTAAACATAATCATTTTAATGACTCATCTCTAATAACTGATTTATTTTATCTTTGCCATGATGACAATAAATAATATTTAACTAGATATTTTTCATGACACTTCTATACAACTTAAAGTGATATTTAAAGGGTTAATTAGGCAAGTTAGGATAATTAGATAAGTCACTGTATAACGATGGTTTGTTCTGTAGACAATAGAAAAAATGTGCTTGAGGGGGCTAATAATATTACCTTAAAAAGGTCCCTAAAATTAAAAACTGCTTTTATTCTAGCTGAAATAAAACAAATAAGACTTTCTCTAGAAGAAAAAACATTATAGGAAATACTGTGAAAATTTCCTTGCTCTGTTAAACATCAATTGGGAAAATTGGGAAATATTTTTAAAAAAAATCACAGGAGGGTGAATAATTCTGACTTTAACTCTATCTGTTTGCTTTTTTCAATTTCATTCTCAGAAATCTGACAAAATTCAGAAAAGATCATCATCGGGCCAAAATCAACATGTCTGTCAGTGTTTGAGGAAAACTTTGAGCTCGTTTGAAAGGAAAACGCTGCTAATTGCGACTCTTTCTTTGTTTTTTAGCAGATTAAACAGCTCAACACACTGCAAACGCTTTCATCTGGACCAGATGATGAACACATTTAACACACTTAACTTCTCAAATCTGCAATAAAAAAAAAAGATTTTATATTGTACTGCTGGATAAAGATTAACCACGATTGATTGCATCCAAAATAAAAGTTTGATTTGACATCCATTTTCTTCCCCTTATTTGGGATCAGGTAGCAGGGAATATATATTACATAAAGTTTAATTAAAAATAAAGTTATTTAAATAAAAAAATAGAATAAATAAATAAATAATACAATAAAATTACATTAAAATAAATTGAATAAAACTAAGTTAAGTTAAGTTAAGATAAGCTAAATTAAGTTAAATTGAATTAATATAAAAAATAATAATCCATTCATACATCCATTTTCTTTCACTTATTTGGGACAAGGTAATAAATATTAAATTAAATTCAAATAAAAATAAAACAATTAAATTAAAAATAAATAAATAAAGTACAATTACATTAAAATAAATTAAGTTAAATAAAATAAAAAAGTTAAATTGAATTAAGTTTAATTAAACTAAATCAAATTAAATAATAAAATAATAATCCATCCATCCATTTTCTTCCCCTTATTTGGGACCAGGTCGCAGGTAATAAATACTAAATAGAATTTTATTAAAAATAAATTAAGTAAAATAAAATAAAATAAAAAGTTAAGTTAAGATAAGATAAGCTAAATTAAGTTGAATTAAATTAAATTTAAAAATTTAAATAATAATCCATCAATTTTCTTACACTTTGGCACCGGGTCACGGGTAATAAATATTAATTTAAATTTAATTAAAAATGTATTTATAAAAACTATTTAAATAAAATTTTTATAAATAAAATAAAGTGAAATAAAAAAGTTAAATTAAATAAAAGTTAAATTAAGTTTAATTTATTAAATTACAATCTAAATATTCTTCAGCTGATATCATATATATCATATATACTATATTCAATTTTCTTTCCTCTTTCAACCACACATCCTTGCTGTGAAATTCCCACCAGGTGTGTTTTCTTCATAAATATCTAGTTTGACTCCCAGTAATGTTAGATTAGAGAAGGGAATGAGGACAGTGTGTGGTGTGTTTGGCATGATAACCAAATCTCATATCAAGACTCAAAGCAAGACTATGTGTGGGATCTCAAGGGTGTGTGTGAGAAAATGTGTGATTATTATTATGTAGAAACGCTGCTGAGATAGTGTGTATCCTCCTCATTACTGTGTGTTAGTGGCTGTAATGATGATGCAAGCATTTTGATGATCAAGCTTTGCAACTATGGCACCCGAGAAGGCCATTCTTTGTGTCCTTTTTGAAGAATTCTTAGCACTTGAGGAATCAGTATAAATATGTGCTCAATGCTGCAAAGTACGCTCAGTGACTGGCACTGTCCTCGCCGTATACACAAAGTGAACGGCATTTTAATAAAAATGCACAGTCGGCGACAATAATAAGAGCACCGACATATAGCACTGTGGTGCTCAGGG